TCTAGTATGTATATATATACACATATATATATATATATATTATATTAGAATTATGCAACTATTACACTTTTTAGTTAACTAAATGATAATTTTACTCTTACTAATAGAAATATAACTTCTCTTCATCTTATAATTAAATATATAATAAGAAAGCAGACAGTTATTTTTGAAAATAATTACTTATTTTAAAATAAATTAAAAAATAGATATATGACCACTTATTTTACATTATTATCTAACTTATTATTTCGTATTTATCAAAAATAACGAGTTTATCACTAACAATTAACTAATTAATTTACATCAAGATTTTTTATCTAAAAAAAAGGGGAGTGCTAATGGCACCCCCTTTGATGTCAGAATCAGGTCATTCAAGCATTGGAAATGTAAAAAACATGTATTGATTTTGATGTATATGAGAAAGAAATTCATGGATAAGGATGCATTAAGCAATACATAAGGGTGCATTTAGCCCACCCAAAAATAATCACAACTTTTATCGATTGTTAAAGCGGATAAATTCAATATAGTCACGTCAAGAACCAGAATCATTATGTTCACAGTTGTTTTTTCTCATTGGCGCCGCGTACGACTTTTTTTTTCTTTTTCTTTTCTTTCTATTAATTTTTATTATTTTATTTCTCTTTGGAGAGATAAAATACTACACTTTCAGCGGTGTAACTATATACAAATAATATCGATTCGTTTTTCCACCAAAAAATCATTGACTAAATGGAACCAAAATGTTGTCGTTTTGCTTTGTTGATACCGTTTTTCATATATTTTTTAGCATGTAATAATTAAAGTAAGTTACAAATTTGGTCCCTAAGGTTTGTCGTTTGTTACGGAATTGGTCCTTTATTTTCATTTATTACATAAGAACCCTGCAGCTATGCAATTTGTTATGAGGGCACATTGGTCTTTTAAACATTTTTTTATTTACTTTACCAATTTTTTCAAACCACAAGGACCATAAATCATCGGCGTGAATGCCATCCAACGAGATTCCATATCAAGGGGCTCCATCTCTCTCCCTCCTCACTTTCTCGGTCTCTCATCCATACTCTCACTACCAACCTGCATCGGCTCCATCGTCGTCTGTCGAACCACCGCCCATGATAAAGGGTTCTTTAAGTAACCAGTGCCCATCATGGCGTTATGAATACACCACCACCACTAGACGGTGTTGATGAAAGGTTCCTTACAGAGGTAACACCCCTATTCCATAATAGGGAGGTCGCTTCAAAACGTAATAGAGCCGTTATATAAAACTTTCAAAATATAGTCTTCAATACAAAAATAAAATCTTCCAATAACGAATTTAAATATCTCCAAATAAAGAAATAAACATCTCCAAACAAACCACTTCAAATACCTTCCAACAACACAAGGAAATCCAAAAACAACTTTAAGAGAAATTCTAGTCTAATGGCCAATGAAATAAATTCAATAATTGAATAACATAGCATTAAACCTCTCGAACCTTTGAAATTGAGATCCTGGTCTACTCTCCGTCACAAGAATTAGCTGTCTCCTTGATTACATGTGAACGGATAAACAATTATAGTAATATGGTAATATAAACACGCCAAAATTTATCTCAAGACATTGGACAAAACGAGTACCAAAATCTTAGTAAAATGTTACCAAAACAAATAAACATATTATTTTAGAGAAAATACATATTTGTACCAACATTCACCGACTTAAATAACATGGTTAGAAAGTGGTTTTCTTACAACATGTACCACATAGAAAAATGGCAAATGAATGGAAATGCGGTAATAGAAAAAAAATCAATAATTGTAAGTCAATTAATCCGACTTGAGAGAAAGGTTAAGGGCTCGTAAACATATGTAAACAAATCAAATGAACGAATAGAATTAGAAATCCGTACCTTAAACTTCACATGTTTACCAACCACTGAGTCCACTTTCTTGTACTCGCCCTAGATAATACCCAAAATTTACGTTATTCACAAGCTACACATGGGTTTATACAGAAGTAAAAATCGGAAGCAATGACTCTCAACCGGCTAAAAAAACAGCAGCAAACTCGAGTGATAAAATCGAGTCGTTTAACCCGTTTTTTCTGGCGATTCACATAATTCTCTTCGCGATATAAACATACCAACATTGAGCATAAACGGGATTAAATTCAATGGAAAAATAAGCATAATTTTTGTGGGTTCTAAAGACAATTTTAACGAACCCCGAACTGCTGCCATAACTTATACACCGAATTGATGACTTTCGAGCCATCGAAACGATCCTGATTCTACCCCCAAACAATCCAAAAAACTCACACCTTAACAACTAATCGCACAACTTCAAGATTGAGACGAAAACTTACCGCAAGGTCGATGAGAATAGTTGAAATCGTTGCTTCTTTTCTCTTCCGTCTTTCAATCGGTTTCCCTTTTCCTCACTCTTCAGGAATGCTTTGGGATTGAAAAGAAAATTATCAGGGTGAGTGGAGACGTGGACGGGAAGCTTGATCATCAACCCAAGAGATAATTCAAACTTAATTCGGGTTTCATAAGAATAGCTCCTCAACTTAAACCAATAAAGACCTCATAAGCTATAACATTCTTTACCTCTTTATAAAAGTATTTAAATGTCCTATTATATTTATAAGATTTAAGTTTATGTGACATTTGTATGTCCTATCTGAAAGTGTTGTAATAAGTTTTAACTGTTAGGCTTCTTAAAAGGCTTTTAAGGATGTTTTTGAAACAAAGTATCTTATTAATTAACCCTTTTATAAAACATTGTATGAAAACATACACAACAATTGTCATATAAAAATGTGTTTATAAGACACTTCTTAAAAATGTCACAAAATGACTAATATGACATTTTGTTTCAAAAGTGTCCTAAAAAAGTTTTTTGAAACAACCAAAACCATCATATAAACTTACTACAGCACCTTCTGAATAGGACACACAAGTGTTTGGTCTTATAAAGCTAAGTTCTATAAATTAGTCTATTAGGATATTCAGATATTTTTGGTTTTCTATAAAAACCTAATTTTATTGTAGTAAGTGAATCGACGTCTCTGCGGGCCCGGGAGGTGAGCTAGTGAAGTTTATTAACCTCTTTAAGGGTATGTTTCGTACACTGGATTGTACATGACAAAAATTAACAAAATTCATCGTTCAATCTTTGACATGACTTTTATGTGGAACAGATAAGAACATAGTGAAACAAAGTGGAACATGCATGTTCCACTCCACCCCATGGAACAAGCTTGAACATACTTATGTTTTGCCGATATAACCTCAAAATAAAACATAATTCTCTTCTAAACATCAAATACGTCTTCCTCTTTACATTTTACTCATTCTTTAAATTTTATTTATCGTATTTTATGCTATTTAACTTTTCACTTTACTGTTCTTAAAATATTATTTTTTACGGTTTCTATATTTTGATTAATTTATGTAATTATTAAATACTAATAATTAAAAAAATAAAATAAAGAGAAGGTACAAACAAAAAGTTGGAAACTACATAAACTTTTTATTTTGATGTCACTTTAATCGTTTTGGCAAAAACTTTTTAATGATATATTTTGTTATAAAAAAATATTTGTTGTATTATAATTTAATAAATTACATAATTAACCAAAATATATAAATATATAGACAACTCATTAAGGGTAATTCGAAATTTTGATATTTTAAAATGGTGGGAGGAAATTCAATTGCAATTCCCATCATGGTCGTCGTGGCTTATGATTTACTAATGGTCTAAGCTAGTATAATAACTTCAAAATCAATGTTTTCCTCGAGCAGCAGGTTCTAAAGGATCGATGGTCACGACTTTAAGAGGAAACGATGGAGATTCACGTATGCTTAAAGGATTACTTTGATAACAATGAGAGAATCTTAGGAAAACGAACTTGCTGAAATTATGGTAGGAATCACCCGATATTCAGGAAGATGATGAAGACGAAACTGGAGATGAACCCGGAAAATGAATCAGAGAAGATTTAATATGAAATGAAGAATTTAATTTATTAGATTTATATCAAGTTAAAGTAATATAATATATGGAGGCTTGTTAAATTTATTTAATAAACATTTTAATGGAAAAAAAATCGAACCGGTCATTTTAGTGTGATAACAACATTTTGGACTGGTTGAGGTCCGACCCAAGTCAAAAAGACCAAATCGGGCTCAACTTTTAGCCCAAGGACCATCTTGGGTTTTTCAATGAGCGGTTACAATGTTTGTAATGGCTTCAACTTCTATGGAACGAGTAAGACTTGTCCTTGTCCATCTGTGATCTTAAAATAGAGGATATTGAAGATTTTTGGACGTTGTTTAGGGGTGAATGGTATCTAAGAAAAATCGAAAATGAACCAAGTATGTCAATTATTTTAAGGGATCATTGCATTAAGATGAAATCAACTTGGGCTTCATTCTTATTTTATAGAACCGACTTTCAGAACCTTTTATTTAAATGAAACAATCCTTATTTTTCCTTGTAATTCGGATCGAGATCATTGTAACAGTGATTGTTACTTCAAAAACGGTTTTGTCGTCATGCAAACATGTACATGTAGAAAAACTATCTGTTGTTTCACGTCATCATGTCATACATTTGTGCGCCAAGACACGATTTGTTGAATGCGAGAGTAAAAAAGGTTTGTACTACCTTTCAGGGTGGACTCAGCTGGATCCGAACTCGAGACCTTGTTGTGGAACAATTTTGATAATAAGTAAGTAATTATTAATGGGTAGAGAGAAAGTTGTAACAGATTATTCATTGCTATAATGAATAAAATTTTTAAATATGATGCCTTAATAAAAAATAATTTAAAAGTATATTTTTGTAATAAAGAAAAACAAAAGTAAAATGTTATAATAAGAAAATTTATGAAAAATAGATTACCGTTTCATGTATTTAACCTTAAAAAAAATAATTGATTTTAAAAATGGAAAAACTATTTATTTTTCTCAAAAATGAAAAGAAAAAATCATTCTCATTTATTGAACTATCACAAAATAATATTTACAAGTACATTAAACTGCTCTAAAAATTCCACCAGCCATCAGAATTCATCCACCTGTCAGTTTTTCTACATGAATGCCAATTCGAAAAACCTAACAGGGGAGTAGGAAATTACCAATATATCCCTTCCATCAAACTCTACCTTCTCACGTCCAGAATAAGAACACATCAACTGCATTCAAACAACACTTCTTCTAAAACTTCATCCAGAATCAAATCTTCCAACTCAAGTCCAACACACTCACAATCCAACTGCAAATTCATCCAACCATCATCACTTCCCAAATCTCGAGACACGATATCGTCTAAAGATTCGTTCATATCCGGCTTCAAATCGAGCCATCGGCTAACACGCTTCCAGACTTGATCAAGGACACGCGGTCCAGTCGGGGCAGGTCGAATGTGGCAGGAAGAAGACAGCGCTTTCGGGTAGTATGCCGATGATTTTTCATAAAAATTAACCAAAACCTCATCCACCAAATCAAAGATGAGTAAATGATGAGATAGCTCGTTGAATTCCTCTTCGAAGAGTTCCGGATCGTGGAAATACTGAGACTCGATTTCTTGAAACACAAAAGGGTCTAGAGGCTGGTTGGAGGAATACCACGTTTGATGGAACCCATTCTTGATGAAACCTGACCGCTCTAGAATCTGCTTCACGTAAGTGAAATCGTCGTCCTCCTGGTAGTGTCTCATTGATGATTCCAAGTGTTTGTTATTGTTGACAATCATGATTTCCTTCTCAACGTTACCTTTCGAGTTGGTTAATGAATCCAAACCTGAAATTCATTAATGAATTAACACGAATGATCGAACTTCTTTACCAAACCAAACAGACCCAACTATCCCACACAGAATAAATATGCATAAATAGATACATATACAAACATACATACATACACACACAGTTATGCATAAATAGTGTGTTAAGATTTGAGCTCAAAAACTCGTACTTCTTTTTATGAAGGAATTTAGTATAAAGCAAGTTTTGGACCAACTTATAAAGCAGGTTGTAAGCATGATACCATATGCATATATATATATATATATATATATATCTAGTTACCTTCTGGGATTTGAAACTCTGACTGGACCTTCTCAGGAGCTAGAACAGAGCTTAAATGAGGGATATCCTCTGTTGAATGTTCATTTTCTGAAAAATTCTCACTTCTATAGACCACTTCATTCAAACACTCGCAATCTTCAGGTTTATCTGTACATAAAGGAAAAGAAACCGGATTTCTTTCATTTTGGCTAGCACTTCGAAAGAAATAAGCGTCATGGGACTCCTGATTGGGATTGTTAATATGAGGCAAAGAGCGATTCGTTCTAAAGAAATTCGGTTCTTGGGTACTTGGAATGTTCTCACTTCCATTTGCCAACTTCAAGCTTCTAGAAGGGCGCAGAGTGGCCTCCTTACTAAAATCAAGCAACTGGGAATATCTGTTTGAAGATTCATTGAGGGAAGATATTCTTCTGATGGGCATAACATTGTTATTGTTAAGATCATCGTGTGAGTTCTTTCCATCTTGTTTATCTAATTCAGTCATCAGAAACCCCAAATTTGATGAAGAATCCAACCTTCTTTCGGTTTTTGAAGTGGTGTACGACTCATTCAACTTATCCTTGAGCTTGGTAGGCCTCAAGAATCGTCTCCCAGTAGGAAAAGAACCCGACTTGGTCAATTTTGCTTTCATGTTAGAAACTTGGGAACCATCTTGTAACATATTCACAAATAGCTCTTTGTTCACTTTGAACATTTCTAAAATATCACCATAATCCTTGGTCTCAGAATTCGGAACATTTGGATTTTCTGTTGCATTCTCATGCAACTCTTCACTATCTGGAAAGAAAATGATTGGACGAACCCATTCATTGCTTTCTAAATGATGAATTGAATTAGTCCTTTGCAACCTTGGACTTGGTACAAACTTGGGATCTCGTTCTTTGTCATTGTCCTTAAAAGTATCTTCAGAAACTAATGCCTTTATACGAGCTTTTAACGACCTTTTCTGGGTAGAGCTGGTTTTTCTATTGCTCCGGTCCACCTGATAAATACCAAGAAGTTAGAAATCTGTCATTTTGGTTATCGTTGAAATAAGAAACGGGTTTTCTTGCAGCAGACTTCAAGAACATACCAGTATATGACTTGTTTCCGCCTCTAAAAGTTTTAACACTTCAAAAGGATCTTGATCATCTGATATCCTCTTGTGCCTTCTGTTGCCTAAAGAAAACAAGAAATTACATACTTACAAAGCAAATATCGAAAAATTAAGTACTATCAATATCAATCAAAGAGAAATGATGCAACAAATATCTGATAATTGGAAAGAAATATCCAAGATGGATAGAAAGATACGTTTGTGAATCTAAAGAAACTAATAATTATATCCTTTAACACAGATGAAATTATGTTTCTTAAGCATAGTTCATTTAAAATATCAATTCCATAACCAACAAAATATCGAATCTTGAAATAACTTATGAACTTGATTCACAGAAAGATCAAATATTATATATACATACACACACACACACATATCAATCATGAGATAGTCTACTTACGGTTAGCATGTTTGATTAGGGTTTCATGCTTTCTGTGTGGAAGTATCTTCTTGACAGAGTGCCAATACTGGTAATCAAGAGCATGAAACATTCCAGACATGCATCCTGAATGAATCTTATCAAACTGATCTCCATCTTCTGTCCACAACACCTTTCCCATTTGATCCTTAAAAATATTCAATTAACAAATTCCCCAAACCTGAAAAAATTTCATGAAGAAAGTACCCATATGAATTTTCTTTTCTTTTTTTGCAAATCTCAAATACCCAACTCATTTAAAACCAAACTTGATTAGCAACTTCCAATACCCACCTCGCAGAAGCTAAAAAAAACAATCGGAAACAATTCCTTTTTCAAATTTAAACATGATTAAAGGTAAGGTACACAACATATTGCTTAAAAAGATGAAACACTTGGAAATAATCTACACCCAGAAGATTAAATCTTGAACTTACTGTTATAACAAACACCCTTTATCGTGCCAAAAGAAGCAGAGGAGGAAATCAAAAGGAAAAGTAAAGGAATGGTTGGAAAACAGATGAGAAAATGAATTCCCGCGGGAGAAGAAACAAAAATAATAAGTATAGCCACGAGAACCATATTCTTGGGTGAGTGAGGAATTTATTCAAACACTTACTGCGCAACCAATTATAATAAGACATAATACCCAAAAACTTACAGACCTTTCTGTTGTGTGGTCTTGCTATGACCATCTAGAAACCAAGGGAATGGCGATGTTTAACGCATTCAAGGTGGAAAATTAATATAAAAAAAGATTAAATTTATGGCAAGAAGAAGAAGAAGAAGAAGATAGGTTAGCATGTGTGAATTGGGAAGAAATCGTAGGTTTACTATGTCAAAGGAATACAAGAAGTAGCCGCCAAATTGGGGTTTACCCGTCAACCACTCCCCCGCCCCCACGCCACCATAGTAGCTCACAAGAAACGGGGAATATTGACCTGAATATCAGCTCTACAATATTCTCTCTTTTTAATATATATATATATATATTTTACATAAATTAATAATTTAAATATTTTTTGAATAATATTACGGAAATTGACTCATATAGTCATTCTACTCATTTAAATTGGTTTACTAGTCCTTTTTTTTCCGGGTTTATCCAAATGTTATTATGCATATCAACATCCGCAATATTATGGACCTAGTTAAAAGATAATTTTTTTTATTAGATTCAATCCAGGTACGCAATTGCGATGACCAGATCCGCAATTACAACGGTCGGGTTTGCAATTGCGATGGTACCACTTGTTAACCCGGTGAAATTTGATTTTTTTTGTCTTTTAGTTAGGTTTGTAATATTGCGGACGTAGTGATATTTGGGTAAACCAGAGAGAGGAATAACTAGGATACCAATTTGAATGGATAAAATGACTATTTGATCCGAAATCAAAAACCGAAATCACCTGGCTTTGTTTATGAATTGAACGTGTGTGATTTATTATTATTATGTCATGATGATGATATATATATATATATATATAGATATAGATATTATAATATTGTACTTAATACATCTTCTACAGAAATAAATTGAACAAAATGATTTATGTATATATATGTCATTAAGAAAAAGAATCATGTGAGAAACTAAACATATTACGAATAGGCGAAAAGTTTCAATATCATATATGATTACGCTTCTTTAGGTGTGCTTAATCATATATGATTAAGCGTCTATGTGTTTCCATGCAACTTGCGTATAATAAATATATGATTAAGATTGTGGATAATCATATATGATATTGAAACTTCTCGTTTTTTATAAAACATTTAGCTTTTTGTAATCAGCCCATGTATATCTATACATATGTATAATATGTGGGCAATTTATGTTTTTGTTTGTTCACGAGCTTGTAAGACTATGTCCTTATGGTTTATGGTTGTTCAACTAAAACGGTTATCATATTGATCACCCATTAAAGCTATTTTAATAGGGTTGTTCATCAAATCTAGTTAAAACCGATCGAGACCAATACAATTAAGTTGATCCTAAAATAAAAGGAAAAAAAGACTGATTTGATACGGTTTAGTACTAGTTTGTGCTAAGCTAGACGATAGAATATGGTTTTTAATGAGCGGAATCGAGTTAAATAATAGATTCTTTAAGCTCGTCTCGAGAAATTAATATTGGGTTCGAACTCAAATAACTTACTTAAATTATGGTTCGAGTTTGGGCACAGATATTTTTTCAATGTTCGATCTCGATATTCATTAAACAAATTTGAATTATTTTATTGTACCTAGAATTCAAGTTTTACAAGCTCGATTATAGGCTTAGCCTTGAGCTCAATTAAATCCTTTATTAGCTTGAGCTTTATATTTTTTTTTTATGTTTTGTTTGTGTAATTTAAGAATGTATAAATATGTTTACTTGATAAATTGTTGGCTCGAATGACTCAGCTGAACTCAATTCGAAAAACTTAATCGAGCGACAGATAAAAAGAGTAGACTACAATTTTGGTCCTTGTGATTTACACCCAACTATGAACAAAGTCCCTAAACTTCATGAAGTATAGTAATGGTCACTGTGGTTTCTATTTTGCTATGAAAGTGGTACTCTAATTAACTCTGTTGAAAATTGTCCGTTAAGTAAAGGGCATTTTCATCTTTTTTTCTTTTTTAAAATCTTTTTCATGCTTTATTTTTTACGACCCACCCTTATGTAACCATTATGTTCCACAACCAACCGACCATGACTTTGTCGACCACTCATTCCTTTTCGATCAGATTTAATCATCATATTTCATCTTTCGAATCTAACTCAGTATATTACCTTTTTTTCATGTTTCATATGCCAGAAATTCCCAAGCAGAAGAGAACCATGCCAACACAATCATTGATGCATTGAAACAAAACGCATAAACAACTTTGATCAAGTCCAATAATTGCATCCAAATTAGGGATCAACCCTACCAACTCAGATCAACCCAAATTAGGGATAATTTTTTTTATATGGTTTGAGCTTCAAAGCAGAAGCGTTACTGGTCTTTAGGAGTTTTTGGAATACGGATTCTTAAACTGTTCAACTTCAACATATTAGTTGGAGGGAATTGCGATGGGAAAGGGAAAGCTAGGAACAAAAGATGGAGGCATAGTGCTAACAGGGATTGAGATAAAAAAAGAGATGGCTGGTGGTGGTGAGGGAAAGGGAATGTCAATCTTAGGCAAGGTTCTAAATAACGTGAGGTGTGGCGTGACAACGAGATCAAGCCTCAAGCCTTATGGTTTCAGCGAGGCCATGACATTATTCAATGTGTGCCCTAAAGTGGCATTACACACGCGCGCGCACACACACACATATATTTGTGTGTGTGTACAGTGTTTTGAATAATAATGTATAACAAATTAAATTCATATAAAGTAATAAAATTAAGAATGAAATAAGAATCATTGATACTAGATATATAGAGCTTATAAAAGCTGGTATCAAGGGTGCAAAATCAAGATTAAATCTCTTGAATCCCAACACATTACTTTCTTAAATTTTCAAAGAACTTGTGTTCGAGTTTATGTGTATGGGAATGAGAGTAAGTACTTACCTAATTAAGCTTTAGTTTTTAATTTTTTTTTTATGTTTATTTAAATCTTAGGTATCATACATAATTATCATTTATCCCTCAAGTTATATCTTAAAAAAACCCACAACTTACAAAATAACACGTTGTAGCATGCCATAACACATCCTACCGTGCCATAACTTGTTACAATGGAAGCCAACCCTTAGAATGAAGCTACAGGGGTTAACTTGACGGCGAACCCAAGCCTTGATACCATAAAAAGACCATAACGAGTTATTTAGAATTATGATCCCAGGGGAAAATAACTGAGAGATTATAACAAAGTAAATAATATGATAATATATATTAATTTTTGTAAGAAAACCCCGCACTTAACGGCACTTTAGCTAACGATGTTAGTGTTAAGGACCATTTTCATAGCAAAATATAAATGCCATTAACCAATTACCCATTATAGTACTTCATGAAGTTTTAAGGACTTTATTCGTAGTTGAGTATAAACCACAAGGACCAAAACTATAAAACTATTTCTTAAAATTTAAAATTAAGTTAAATTTTATTAGGGGATCTAACAATTTTGTCTGGACCTTTGTCTTAATTAAAATATAAACATAATTAAAATATTTTTATTCTTTGTGAGGCATAAATAATTTTTTATACATGATATTGATATTTATCATGTATTTGATTATGTCTATCTGCAGTTAGTTATACGAATTCAGATATGAAGTTTTAATAAGTTGTAGTTATGCATAATTTATTTGTAATCTTGAGTTTTAAGTAACATGTATTAATAAACATTACTTTATGCATAACAAATTATTTTTAAGAATTTTTGTCAAATAATCTATAATATAATATAGTTGGTATTGATATTGATATTGATATGTATTTGTACATATTAAATTTTATTTAAATATATAAAAAATCCAAAATCTATTATTAAAATATAACTAATCTTGGTCATTACGTTTCCTTGTTTTCATCAATATTCACGACCATAACATCCAGGTTTTTATGCATATATTATGTTCGAACCAATCGTATAAAATATTACACATGTTTTTTTATTTAGTTATAATTTTGATTTTAGATAGATTTAATAAAAAAAAATGTCTATTTAAGATTGATAATTTTAAAAAATCGATTTTAATAGAATTAATTTTCAAAAACATGTCAACTTTTATCTAGTCATATTATAAATTATTAACGTATACAAAATCTTTCAATATACTCTTAAATTTCATATTGTCCCATTAAATTTATCTTTTTTTATTATTGTACTTCATTTATACATTTACTAGTTGTGTACCTGCGCAAAGCGGCGGGAGCCATGAATTTTAACGATTTTGAATTTCCACTGATTTTATAAGATAAGATTTAACGATGATATAGGTTATACTTGGCCTTTACATATTAATACAATTTGAATAAATAAGAGTTATGGTTCCAATTACAGATTATCGATGAAAAAAAATTGTATGACAGTTTAAAATATAATATATTTAAAATCCAACATATTTAAACGACTCCACAAATGTGTTCGATTTACACAAARAGHAAAGAACCAAGAAACTTGAGTTTTAAGATAAACACTCAAAACCAATAAAGAAAACTACAAATTTGACAGATCATAACCCATGAAAAAACCAAAAAAGATGGGTTTTAAAAT